GGCAGTAACCTGTCCACCAACACAAGCTGAAAATATACCAGGCTTGCAGGGCAGTGTAAACAGCTGGAGCTGTGTTTGTTGTTGCTGTTCAGAAGCCTGCCCCCTCGGTTGCTCTGGAGCATTAACATGTTCTGGGTGACGCTCTGTTGAAATGGCTAATTCCATTTAATTTTGCGCCCTGGCTCTGGCTGCGTCCTTTTCTTCCTTAGTTACTGTCAGATGGTGGATTGCAGCTTTTGACAAGACAGCGAAGGGAAAAAGGTCAGCACGGAAAGAACCGGGCGGCGCTGGCAGCGAGGGGTAGGTTGGAGCTGGTGTGCACTGGCCGTGCTGTCGGCTCCGCTTCTCTGACTCTGATGAGAAGCTGACTGCTTGCATCCTCACCTGGGAGTTGATGTGGCCACTAGGATGCCACATCCAACAAAACCTTTCAATCACATCTGTGTACCATAAGCATAATCAAAGCAATGATGCTGTCAAACGGGATATGAGGCACCTCTGATTCTGCACTGATAGCCTGTTTACAGGCTGCATGTCTTGGTCACTTTAAATCAGAGGGAACAGGAAGGACCCAACTACGCTGCTCCCTCCACATTGGGGACAATGAATTTGCAGGGTCAAAAAGCATTAAACATCAGATAGCTGTCACAATATGACGAGATCAGTTTGGAACTGGATTTGCCAGACAGCTTTGTCACAGCAAGCCAGAGTCCCAAATGGAATTGTCAACACGTAGAAACTGTTCCATTAGCATTTTATTAAACCTCTGGCAAGTTAAAAACGAAGCCAAGATCACCAGCAATCACCAAGGCAGTAGTAACCCTGAGAACACTTACAAGGAGTGGCTCAGACCCTGCTTTAAGCCCTGATCATAACTTGTTTCCACTGAGCCACACAAAACCCTCGTGATCTCATAGCAAATTATAAAATTTATTAGCAATGCTAAATAAAGGCTAAACCAATTATCACCTCCTCACTCAGATAGGTTGTATACAAAAAGTGTGGACAGACACACATTTTCAAGGCTGTAAACAGACAAATATGTTTGCTGGAGAATGTGACAACGTATTGCACTCTCTTCAAAGGTCCATTATTTTTTAACCATAATTTTGAAATTAACATTTCTATTATGTATTTAAACAAACAAACACACACTGCTAACCTAAAAGAGGAGAAATAGTGAATTTCTAGAAAATGTTATGTTCTAATCTTCAGCCAATGGGTACATCCACCAAGCGTGTATAAATATGTTGATGTGAGTTTCAGTGGCTATATATCTTGATAGAATAATAAATTATCAGTAAACTGTATCAGTAATTACCCAAGTTTAAGATGCATAAAATTATGACCATGCAAAAATAGTGAAGCCTATGAAGCAAAGTCCAAATGAAGCACATAAAAAAATTGAACCACATTACATATAGAGTAGCACCAGTGAACTGAACTCAAGATCTAGATTCACACCACCATGAAAAAAGTTGTTTAATCCCAGGAGATCCCTTTCAGGAGACAGTGGTGCACACAGCTATACAGATGAACCTCTGGCTGTGTTGAAAGTGGGATAATAAAGGATAATAAATCTAAGCATAAATGTAAATATTTGTAGCCTCATGCTGTAAAACCTCTTGCAGGAGTTAATTTCAGCTGTGGCTTGCAGGATAATAATAAATGCTATTTGCAGGCCTGATTCCTAGTGCTAAAGGCTTTAATACTTTAAATATAATGGTACACAAACATTGTATATCATGTGGAACTGCAACTTTGGCTTCCTCCCATTTTCAAGCTCTTTGCTGCTACAAACAAACCTTCAAGCACGTGGAGATTGGGCAGCAAAGCTTCACCATGTGCCAGCCCTTGGTCAACAGGGACAGAGCAAACCTCAGAATTTACATAAAAGCAGCATCTTGCTGAATCAGCAGCACTAAACACTAAACAGAAACGGATTCTGCCAAATTTATATTGGCCTTGTTTGAAAGCCACAAAGACAATAAAAAATTCTACAGATGCAAACAAGGTAACAATATTGTTTGTTTGAAGGCAAATTATTTAAAAAATAATTTGTGGAATAATACTTGTGGAATTTTAATCACATTTGTCAAACTTTTTACCTAGCAAGCTTAGCAAAAAATGAAATGGTTTGAGCACATTATCCTTTGGAAAAAAAAAATTACTCTTTTTGCTGAAATACATTAATTTTGCTGAAAGAATTTTTTTTCTTGAGATTTTCTCAAATACTCCATAAAAATATTTTCAGCATTCCATTTGAAAAATATTGTTTCAAATCCAACTTTCCAGTACTCTTAATACTGTCCCAAACAATTTCAAGAATACTACTGAAATGCCTCCTATTGGAACACTCACATTCTTATGTAGCTAAAGGCATTTTTGTTGAAGGGGATGGCTTGTAATAGGCTTTGCACAAAAAATCATCAGGTATGCAATAACTAAGCAAAAATAGGAAAGTATCATTATGAAATAAAAAGCTTTAAATGTCAAAACTTTAAAACTATTCTTTTCTAATCAACTCCACAATATTTTTAAAAGTAAAATCATTGCTTTAAATTTTCTACAGATGAGATTTTACATCTAGTCCATGATAATATACTTAGGAATAATTCAAGAGACACAAGGATGTTTCATGTTAAATTGAAATATTCAGGGTAAGATCATATTGTGATTGACATGTGGAAATGAAGAGTGAACAATTTTTCTTCCATGATACTAAATGTTTCCTGAGTTTCATATTTTATGTTTTCAAGGTCAGCTTTCATGCATCATTGCCATTTTTTATGTGCTCCTTTTTACAGTGTACAAGGAAATGAACACAAGACACTAACACTAGAGCTAAATAACCATGCTGAAAACTGTACCTTCCAGCAAACTTATGGTGTCACTCTTACTCTGCTGCAATAGCCTCTAAAGTGGAAAAAAACACAGCGAGAGAATTGCTAACATAAACCAGAACAATCCAAGTTAAATATACTAGATATGAAAGGCATGAAATTATCAACAACTCCTCTGGGTATCCTTCATGTTTACCATAAAGAATAACGGTTCTTTCAAATAAGTAAAACATTAGCATTTTAGAAAACACAAGAGGTGTCTTGGCCTATGCAGAAAATTATATTTGGTTCAATTAACCTTTAATTTCTGCAAAAGTTTTGCAAAATCTTGTTTTAACTGCTGACAAGTCCTAGCAGGTCTCAGGAATGCAGCCTTTCCAGAAATTTGTGAGATATTGCCTTTATACCCTAAAATACCTCTGTCAATCTGGCTTTACATTACTTTTCTTGTCTCTCCCAGATTTTTTAAAAAGTGGTATCCTCAATTTGCTGAGTGTTGCCTCTGTCAGTTCCCCAAACTGGCACTAAGCCACAGCAGTTATAAGTTTATTGTCAGAATGTTTTTCTCAAGCTGAGAAGGAGCATGTAGGGTTTTAGCCATGGCCTGAGAAGATGCTCTAACACATTCACAGGCTTCAGCTCCAGCACTACATTAGGTATTTACTGACATTTCATCAGTGTCATTCATTTGCCTTAACACACTGTTCTTGTGGACACTTACCTCCTGCACAAACACTGGATGGCTCAGCCGCTAGGATCTCAATGCAAGACTTCTTCAGAATCTAAAAGACATAGATAAGGGCATTTTTTTGGTAACCATTTTCATCTATGCTTTATTAATGCAGGAAAGGGCACCCTTCGCTGTGTTTCAGAATTTCCAACTTACTGAATCAATGGTTCCTCTAAGGGCATAAAAGCCTCCCTTAACTGGAAAAACATGATCGATGCTGTCAGCAATCGTTGACAGCTGCAAAGAAAGACAATCATAAATCATGAGGAAAACAAAATTACAGTGAACAAAACCAGGCCCTTTCATACTTGCTAAAAGACATCACAGTGACACGAAATGATTTATGCCCCAAGTAATTAAATAAATGCCTTCATCTGATGCTGTTACTTGTGCAGTAAGTAGTATAACAGAAAAACACAAGAGAAAACAAGCTAGTTACCTGAGTTTCATTAAAATCTTTCACTCCAACACAATAAACAATAGCTCCAAAGCTCCTGGCTCTGTTGGCCTAAAAAACCCAAGAACTGCCATTAAGTGCAAAGCCATATCATCAGTGGAGTCAGCAGTAAACGTGTACAGGTTTGACAAAAATTAGTTTGGATGAAGATAAAAGTGACTTACTTCTTGTTCTGCATAATAAAACTGAGCATCTTGCAACTCTCCATCCGTCAGGGCAATAATCACACTGGCGGTCCGGACTCCTGCACAGAGGGCAGTTAACAACAGATTGTATACACATGACAGCAGTGGGAAAACGTCTGGAGCCAGGCAATCCTTTTTACTGACAAATACACACAAAGCCACAGGGCCAGACTCTCAGCCTGTTTGTATGGACCTGGGGATGCAGCAGCTGAAGGCCAGCTGCAAGGTCTGCAGCGAGCCAAAACCAAAACCTGCGCACCTCCAGGTCACAAGCATCTCTGGAGGGGGAGTGCTGCTCTAACAAGGGCCCCACACTGACTCTTCTGTTCTGAATAAAAGAGAGCAGCTACCAAGATTACAGGCAGAGCTTTCACGTGGAGAACTGACAAAATGGGTTTGCAGAGAAGGACAGCTTTCCTCTCTTCTCTTGACAAACTTGTCTCTACATAACCATTGTCCGGAGAGTGTGGCAGGAGACACCTCTGCAAAAGGAGCTTTCCTGCCATCCTACCTTTCTCTCCAGCAGGCTTTGAAAGAGCAACCTCACTGAACATGGCATGAAATGGGCTTCTACAGGGAGGTCAGTCCTACAGTTCTCAAACAATAAGAACTTCACAAGAAATCTGAGCGTGTGAAAGCATTAAGATCAGGGTCACTAGAAAAAAAAAATCATGTCTTGAGATACAATATTTTGTAACCCATCTAAACTTACATGACAAGGTTGCTTGGACTGCAGAGATTTCTCTATGTTATGCAGTATAGAATGCAATGCTACCTAGAAAAATGCAACCTGGTAACAAAATTAAACCAAATTAACATGCAAACTATGGTTCAACCAGCCATTCTGAGTCCACAGTTCTTAAGCAAAGTAACAAATACACATACATGTTACTTTCAGGCAAGCATTTGTTATCTTTTCAAAATAATCTGTTACAATTTCAAGTGTCTTCCTCCATACTGTCTGAAATTACAGATTGATTAGTTTTGACAGGTTTCTTATGCCATGCAGTCCTTCCTATGTCATGTCACACACAGACATAAATCTTAAAAAAATGACCTGCAACTTGGAGGAAAAATAGCTTGGATTCCTTTTTGTTTTTTAAACTGCACCCTTGAAAAATGCTGAAAAAAATCTGGAGATTATTTTGTTTTCTTTTCAATGCCTGTTTCTTCCCTGGGAGTTTAGCTTCTAAATCCAGTTCTCATCTACTCTTTTTCCTTTCTAATTCAATTTACGTAATACTTGATTAGTTCTTAGCTATAAGCTATGAAGTAAAATTGTTTTCACTTCAGGACTCCTGATTTTACTGGCAGAAATGCTGCAACACTGTGCAGAGCTGCTGCTCCCACACTCACAGTCTAATTTAATACAAAGGCACCAACTTGTTTCTCCATCTTCCAAAGAGACCATTAGCCTATAAATGAGAACCTCACACCAGAGTATGAACTAGGCAAGTCTTGTTAACTAATTAGGCCTTCTTTTGGCACAGAAAAAAAATCCACAAATACACTTTCCTCTCAAAGCTTAGTGAAAATGCTCATTTTAGCAACTCAGAATCTGAACACAAAGCATTCACACTGATTCAAAACTATCATTTGCAACTACACTAATGAGAACAAGGACGTGGGACCACAAAGCAGAGAGGGCTGAGTGCATCAGGATGGAAAGGACTAGGAAAATGTGGGTATTCCTGTCTCCTGGGTGCAAGATGGGCAGCTCTGGCTGCTATGGTTTGGTCTGCATTCTACAGTGGTCAGATCTGGGATCATGCTGGTCTTCTCTGATCTCAATAAACCATGAATCACGCATTTAGAAGTAGGGCTGTAGTCAAAATGGAATGTGGTATTGCATAACAGCACTCCTTCTCCAATACTTCTTTCAGTGGGTTTACTGCAGGTCATAAAACTAAAATCCCTGTCTTGCCAAAGCAGATATACAACATGAATGATACACAACACGTACCTCCATAGGTTTCATGGTAAATTTGCTCATTTGCCTGCAATGAAGTGTGGAACATGGTTAGCTCAAGAATACGAGCAGGAAGTAAGCAAAGTTTCTATGTGTAAAACAAAGAAAGTAGGTACTGTGATGTGTACCCTTTTAAATCCTTCATGCATGAACGTGTCTCCTCCAGGCAATTCTTCCTTAAGTATGCTGAGCCCTCGTCTTATGGCTTCCCTTTGGATTGAAAAAAAAACATACACAAATAAATAAAACAAAAAAATCCCAGGAGAATATTAGACGTTTTTTTCTTTTGTTGAGATATTCCTATACCACAGCTAGAGTATGCAGCCTGTCAATCAAGTGCACAGAGTTGCACATACACATCAGCTGGAGCACTGGTTGAACCAAGACTGTTTCCAAATTCCACAATTTATCAGCCAAACACCCATGGGGGCACAAAACCAGACATAGGGTACAGCATTAGGGTAACATATTTTAAAGATGCAATTCCATCCCTGCTCCCTCATTCTCATATATTCTCAGTCAGGATAAAATTGAATTAAAGCCAATGCCAGATATTAAACTGCAGAACAAAACAGAGTTTAAAAGCTTATGACCCTGCCACAAAAATGAGACAAATTAAAACTCTGTATTGAATCAGTCATCAGGACAGTCTGGATTTGGATTTTTCCATTTTAAAGACAGAGGCCAAAAGATAAGAGAACGGGATGGGAATGAGGAGAATTTCCCATCCTAGACCAGGGACTCATTAAACTTCCTGGGGCATAGATTACTCCTGAAAACAGAAGCACTTGCAAGTCATGATTCCTGTTGCACAGTTTCCTACTCTCCAAATACCTATTAACCAAGAGGATTGTTCAGGGACATTAATAATTTAATTGATCACCAAATGACCCTGATTCTTGACAAGGGTTCTCATTATATTAATGGAACACAAAGCACAAATATTCAACAGATAAGACATAGGCAGTTCAAACATCAGTTCCAGATGCCATGGGACAGCCTTTCTTTCAGAGAATAGTGAGAACCTTTCTAAACTCCATTTTGCAGCTGGGTATTTTAGGTAACACAACCTCAGTTACAGACAATATAGGAAGCTATATGGGATGAAAGTAAAAATCAGGAGCTTGGATTGAGGAACATCTTTAGAACAAAAACCACATTTTTACCCTTTTGAAGTATAAAATGAGCTGAAAAGGCACACAGTGATCCATACAGAGAACAGGATTTTAGAACAGGAAACACTCTAATACCATGCTCAACATATTGACAGAGGGTTCCTGTCTACTTTCCACCTTGCAAAGAGCAAATTCACCCAGGGAAAAGTAAGCAAGTTTGAGCTCTGCCACCACGATACATGATGAAGACCTGAAACAAAATTCAGGGGAGCCAGCACAAATGCAAGAGCCCTGCAGGGTAGTTGGCTTAGGATCAGTCCCTGGAGTACAAAGTTGAGGGAGTAGTTGTTCTTTCTGCTCCAGAGTTCCCATTATTTATAGGGTGCCCTGTACTATTGAGGCCCTCTCACTCAGTCAGCAGCAGCAGCAAAAGCAAAGGATTTAAGCTGAAATGAAAAAAAAAAACCCACAAAACTTAGAAACACCCAATGGCAGGGATTTGTATGTGTAAGGAAAATTAAATTTTAAAAATAACATTTTGGTGGGTAGGGATTTTTTTCTTGGGCTTGTTTCCAGTGGTGGTTTGGGGGTTTTTATTCATTTGTTTTTTAAAGAAACAATTTGGTTGTGAATTTGGCAACCAGGATTTTGCTCCACCTTTTTTTCTTACAAAGATTGTCACTTGGCTTTGCAAACCACCCCTGGCCCAGGTGCTGTTTGCAGGCAGTGCAGGAGAGGAGTGCCACAGCCTGGTGAGGTCCTGCTCCAGCACTGGGGACAACCAACTGCAGGTGTAAAGGTTTGAGCTTTGAGTCCCTTCCAAGGGCACTGGGGATCTCTCATACACTCCTTTGTTCACCAGTTCAGGGTCTGAGATCTCTCCCACAAAAACTGTCCTTATTTGGGTAGCTGGGGATAGCAAGTATGTGCCTGGATCCTCAGCTAGAAATGCAGTTTCCCCCTGAAATACCACAGTAAAGAACACACAGCCCAGTGCTGCCTTCCTCTTACAAAGCTGAAAAGAAAATTGAAATGGGACACCCCAAGGCCTTCTAAACCCTCCTCCAGTTGGGAATGGAGGAGAGGATTTGAGCTGGTGCCACACCAAGGACCAAGACCCAAACTCTGGGTGTGGAGTCACTCACTGTTTGAGGGAAAGGATGGAGGGTATTTCTGGAGGAATGCTGTGCGAGGTACTTGCCTGTTCTCTGTTAGTTTCATGATCGTAGTGCCTCGTGAAGAGAAAACAATGAAAGACATCCGCAGCATTGGACTGAAAGAGAAGAACGAGCCACATCCACATCACACTCGTAACTTCAGCAGAAATTCACTTGCTAATAAGCACTGAACAAAAAAATAAATTATGGACAGGAAATTAAAGTATCATTTAAAAAAAACTTTACCTTATGAACTTCTCAGCCAGGCTTTCCACAAAGGAGTAAATCTCAGTCCAATGATTTTTGACGCTTCCAGATCTGCATACAAAACATAACTGATTACATTAAGCTTTCTTTGCAGTGAAATTCCTTGTTTCACTTTGAATTTTAAGCCTGACCTACTCCAGAAGGTGGTTAGGGACACAAATTACATAGAGTTGTGTTGAAAGCTGCAATAAAAACCATGATGACAAAACTCAGACTCAAAGACAAGCAGTAAGAGGTCTGAAATGGTTTACCATAAAATTTTGAAACAAACTCAGTAACCCTTCCATTTGCTTTTGTTCCTTTTACAGCATAAAATATAAACATTTTCTTCTAGTTTAATTAATTTTGACTTCCTTAAATTATCTGTTATCAAATTATTTGCTTTCCTAGAGCACAGCTCTGCCCTTGCACCACATAGAAAATCTTGACTGATCTATTCTCCCAGAATGTGTGGGATGATGTTTCCATGATTTACTGTTTGTTTCAAAAGAGAAAGCTTTTTGAAATAATTCTGAAGGGAAAGAGCACTCTTGCCTAATTTGCTGGACTAATATTCTGGGCAGTCAATCCCTGGCTCCATTATGGATTTCTTGTGAAAACTTGGACAACTTAGTTACATGCAGAAGACTTACACACCCATGTTGCCACTTCCATGATATAAAACTACATTACTGTCACTCCCTGTTTTTTTTCTGCCAAGTCTTAGCAGGGACCCCCACAGTCTGATGGGACTGAGACCTCAAAGAGAGCCTTGCTAACAGCAACCCTACAGTAAATTACAGATTTCTACCACGTTGATCTATACCATACACTTTCAAGACATTGAAAAGGCTACAAAGCATGAAAGTCAATGGTTTTAAAAGCCCTCCCTAGGACTGTGGTGTTTATGAAAGAATGACCCATTTGCTTTCCTTCCTTGCTGAACTCATCTATCAGGTGTCTTAGGCAGATAAAAAGAAAGAAAGATAAATTTAACAATGGCACATACACAAAATCACGGTGGCTTGAATGCAGAACTAAAAAAAAAAAACACCTTCTGAAATTCAACTACTATAAAGCAGTAGGATTCCTCTAACTGCTGCTAGGTATTTTTCTGTGTAAACATGAGAAAACAATTACATTTTTCAATTCTCAGTTCTACTGTGGGCTTTCCAAGTGATCTTATGCCAGTCACTTATGCCCTTGTATGTCAGACACAGAAGCCCATGTGTGCAATGCAGGATGGCACTGCCTGCCCTGCAGCAGTGCTGGTGGAGTGGAGAAGGGCAAAGATAAAGGGACAAGGACCAAAGGAGTCTCCTGAAGTACATAAGCTAGAATAAATTGGCTTGTGTAACCCTGTGCTTTCATGCTGCTCCTCTGGAGAACTGGTGATTCATTCACAGAACAAACTGGTTATCAAAGAATGAAGAAATTTCCCTTCCAAGGAAAGGCAACAAAACACTGGGGACTACTCAAACCAGGGCTCTGGATCCTGGGTAATCCCCAGTTTATATGTGCTGCAAAACAATATGTTTATCATTTGTGAACAGCACCAATGAAAGGTGCTGGCACTATTATCAAATTAACCCTATCAACACCTACGAGTTCCCCACGATTTTTATGGAAGTCCCAGGCTAAATCTCTAAACATAATGAAGTCAAAGATTTCCTTAAATCTATCCAAGATGCAGCTACAGCTCCCAAACTTCTTAAAAATTCTTTTCCCCCTTCAAAGCTGACACTTTCAATTTCATTCTGAGCTTGCCATCTGACTTAAGTTCAACTCCTGAAATTTTCATTGAAGTCTATTCCCCTCACAGAATAACCATATTTTCTTACTTGGAAAAGACTGACCTATTTTACATGAGGTATCAAATTTCTACTGCCAGCTGCAGAGGCACTAACGCAATCTAGAAAAAAAGTAGCAGCAAAATTTCTCTTAAACTGCAACAAACCAACATGTCCAGTACCTTCTTAGGACTGTCAGAATTACTTCTTTTTTCTCATTTTTTTTTTTTTCCTCTTGTAAAGTGTACAGCCAGCAAGAGGATTGACTGTGATAAATCAATAGGTGCCCACCCCTGAAAAGGTAGGGAGGTCAGTGTCATGGATTAGTCCTCAAAGGAAGCATACTGTGCTCTCAGAGTGCCCAGCTCTACATCCCAGAGCTACAGCCCTGCAGAGAAGAGTTGCTTCAGCACAGCAGTGAGTGTCCTTCACCCCTGAGAGGAATTCTGCACCCACATGTTGCTTACCAGCTGGGAAGTGTCAGAAGTGTCCCCAGTCTATCAAAAGGGAAAAGTCAAGGCCAGATAAAAATACTAGGAAGAAAATGTTAGTTTCAAAATCCCATAGATGGAGTACCAGTGAAGTGGTCAGCATTTAATCACTTTTCCCACACCACACTCCTCCAAGCTCAGGTGTCATCTCCCACTGCAAATGGTACCAAAATGCCATCAGTGCCAGTCATGTCAAAGCCCTCATGAACACCAGTGGGAGTGGTTTATAGAAGAACCTGATTTCCCTTTCCTCTCACCCAAGCTTTCCACTAAATATCCTCGTGTATAAAGCTATTTGTAAAGGACTTTTATTTACCATTTCATATATATATATATATATATATACATACATACACCCTTTGGAGGTTTCATGGGTTTGGCCCAATAGTTTCGTTTGTTGCCCCAGAGGCTTCACCTCATACCACCAGCAAAGGCAGTTTTAAAGGCAAATTAAACAAAAAATTATGACAACAAAATGTTTGCTAAATTATATACTAAGTTGTCAAATATCGTCAAATATGAGTTCCACCACTGACAAACATAACTGCCTCATAGTATTGAAAATCCTGAGCCATTTCACTGCCACTGGAATCTTATCTTCCACACTGCAGAATCACTGTTAATATCAGCATAAACTTGCTGCCCTTTGTGGCTGGATCAGACTAGGAGAATAAATGAAGCACATCAAAGACCAGCACTGGAGTATGACACACACTCATCAGCACCTGGGACAAGCCATGGGGAAGTGACACAGACAGGGAATCTCATGTATCCTGCTGTGGAGGTTTATCCCAGTAGGTCCACCATGACAGTACTGTGGCTATCTCCAAAAAAGAAAGATCTGACTGCAACACAGGCTATCTTGCAGGCTCACACCTCTGAGATTCCCTGCTTTCAGCCATCAGCTACCTAGCTCAGCCTTCCCTGCCCTTCCTCCCTACAATTTCCCTGCTCAAGAAGCCCAGGCAGCCTAATGCTCTCTGCAAAGTGAATAGTGACCCAGAGCTGACGAGCAGTTTGGGTACCTTTTGGAGTCAAGCAGGATGGTGAGGCTTTAGCCCTCAGAGGTCACATATTTCTCATTGTGAAAGAAAGTACACAGCAATAAACAGCTGCTGTGGGCAGCTGGAATGTTCCAGAAAGCATCTCAGAGCCTGTTTCTGCTGCTGCTTTCACTGGGGTAAAACTGGATTGGGACCACAGAAGTAGCAAGATTTCCCCAGTTTATACCTATGCAATTGGGACCAGAATTCAGCCCAAGCGAAGTTTAAAAAAAACAGAAACCATTTGCCTTGAGCATGCTCCTTGCTCCACGAGCTCTGTTCCCATTACACACAGGACAAAGAGAAAAGTCAGCAAACCACAACACAGGAAAGAATGTCCTCCCAGCCACATCAGGACTGGGCTTGGAGGAACAGCTGCTGCTGCAGTTCCTGCTGCTGCTGTTTTCCTTAATTTTATATTGCTACTGCTCGGTGGGAGGGGAAAAAGAGGAGGTCGGTGAGTATTTCTGGGGGTGGAAGGAAGTGATGTGATTCCAAGGCTTGATTCCATTCCTGCCAATTTTGGAGTGATTCCTTCTGGTTTAACAGAGCTCTGTGTCAGCATAAAAACCCTGAGCATGTTAGAATTGTGTCTACCTAATCTGAAGTATTTCACTGATGTTTGTGAAGACAAAGAACAAGAAAGGTTGGAAACTTTGTCTTCCTTCCTAACAGGCTCCCAGCAGCAGTGGAAGCTGGAGCCTGGAGAAATGAAGCAGCACAACCCAGGCATAAGGGGTGCCACCCTCAGCCCAGTCACTTCTGCAGGCAAAGAGCAGGAGGGCCAGTTGTGTCTGTCCTAGAGCACATGTGTTCCACAGCTACTGCTGAATTCCCTGTCAGGAGCCCACATGGATCAACCCAGAGCAATATACAGCAGTCACCTAGCTGTGCAGTGAAAGTTAAAACCCCAACACTACCCAAACGGTAAATATTTTTATTACCATATGTACACAAAGAAGGCAGCAGGACCGAGGGCTTTTCATCCCTGCTGAAAGGGACAGAGTGAAACCCCTTGAAAGCACAGAGCTGCCCCTTGTCCTGTTCCACACACACACCCCCATGCACATTTGCCTCCATTACAGATTAGCTGAAGGCAGCAATTCCAGACATCCTGGAGCAAGTAAAAGAAATATTTTTACTGATGCTAGATTTAGTCGGAATATGGTGTCAGAGGAGTACAAGACTTCTTAAATTTGTCAGTCCTTCTAAGTCTCTACCCCCTTGAGCTAATGATGGCCCTGTACATTGTCCATTGCTCACAAACGTGACACTGTTGTTATTTGGAGAGCTCTTTGTGGTCACAGCCACATTGTAGACAGCAGAATTCTTGCACATGGCTAATAATGGCTCTGCAACAAAAGCAAACCCTGGGGCACTGAGTTTGTTGTGGGTTCAGAAACGCATGCCTGAGTGTTCATCCACCCCTCTGCTCCCTTCTGAGCCACCAGAGCATTCAAAGTGACAAGAATCCTCCTCTCCCAAACAATGCATCTCGCAAGCATGGAAGGGAACTTGACTGGGTGATTCATGCAGTTTCTATCATCTGCTCCAGAGGCAATTAGAAACACAGGCAGAGACAGCCATTCTGAGACAGTCTTTGCTTCAGAGTACTTGTAACATTAATGGACAAGACAATGGCTGGAATGGAGAGGGGAAGATGCAAAGAAGTGACTGCAAAATGGGTTTTAATCCTAGGCTAGCATCTGAGTAGTGACCCAAAGTACTTGAATACAAAAGGTTTCATG